GGCAAGTTGTCCCACTGCTGGTCCAGGTAGGACCACCCTAACTGATAGGGCTTAACAGGAGCTAATGACTCTCTGCCCCAGTGACTGGTCTGGCCTTCCAGGTCCTGCTGATGAGTCAGACTGGCTGTGCTGTCATCAGCAATTCCCTAGAATACTGCGGACCCACTGGCTCAGGAACCAGACTACCGAAATCGCCACAGAGTGCTTCAATATATAGCCACCAATATATAGCTCTTCATATAGCCACCAGATTCAAATTGCCATTTTTGATTATATCTTGTAAATAAGCCTCCAATCAGTATTCAAAACTTCAGCATCAGTAAAGTGTGTAACCGTTCCCCTAGGACAGAGTTTAAGTCAACCAGTTTTGGGGTAGGATCATAGCAGGTAAGATCAATTGTGGTCAACAACAACAACATGGATTTATATAGCGCCCTCCACGCCAGACATCTCAGAGCGCTTCACAGTAACAGATCCCGGGGCCGAGCCAGGGGGAGGGAGAGGAAAGTGACCAAAATGCGGTCGAAAAGAAAGATCTTCAGCCGAGACCTGAAAATAGGAAGAGAAGGGGCGAGGCGAAGGGAGTGAGCAAGGGGATGCCAGAGCCTTGGGGAGTAGTGGCTGAAGGCACATCCGCCAATGGTGGAGCGGAGGATTCGGGGGACGCGGAGGAGGCCAGAACCGGAGGAACAAAAGCAATGGGCACTGTTGCGAGGAGACAGCAGGTCAGAGAGGTTGAGGGTTGCAGACGAGTGCAGGGATTTGAAGACAAGGGTGAGGATCTTGAAATCGATCCTCTCTGGGACAGGCACCAAACTGCGCTCCCCGATCACCCAGGTCCTTGCAGTCTGGCAAGGACTGGGTGATGGGGGAGCAGAGTTTGGTGCGGGTGAGAATGCAGGCGGCAGAGTTTTGAATGATCTGGATTTTATGGATTGTAGTGGAGGGGAGGCCGGCGAGGAGGGCGTTAGAATAGTCCAGCCGAGAGGTGACAAAGGCATGGACCAGGGTTTCAGCGGCTTTTGGAGTGAGGTATTGGCGGAGACGGAGGATGCGTCGGAGGTGGAAGAAAGCGGTGCTGGTGAGGGACTGGATGTGGGGGAGGAAGGATAATTGGGGGTCGAACTTGACGCCAAGGTTACGTACGGGTTCGGAGAGTTTCAGGGGGAGGACGGGTCGGTGGAGGAGGTGAGAACCGTGAGATTTTAGACATTGACGAGAGCCAAAAGTATGGCTTCCGTCTTGTCAACATTCAGCTGACGGAAGTTTGCGCTCATCCAGCCCCTGAGATCTGACAGGCAGGTCCATTAGGGGACAGGGGGTCGCAAAGTGAGGTGGAAAAATAAGAGTTGTGTGTCATCCGCATACATGTGGAAATGTACCCCATGTCTGCGATGACATCCTCTAGAGGGAGCATGTAGATTAGAAAGAGGAGGGGGACAAGGATGGATCCTTGGAGTACTCCGCAGGTGACCAGGTGAGAGCGGGAGGAGAAACTGTTTGTGCAGATGTACTGCTGGCGGTTTGTGAGATAGGACTTGAACTGGGCGAGTGCAGTCCCACTGAGGTGGATGACGGTGGAGGAGGATGTCGTAATCGACTGTGTCGAACACCATGGAGAGGTTCAGAAGGACAAGGAGGCAGAGGGAGCCCTGGTCACAGATAGAGAGGATGTCGTGTGTGACTTTCATAAGCGCAGTCTCTGTACTGTGGGCGGAAACCGGACTGGAGGGGTTCAAAGAGGGAGTGGGAGGAGAGGTGTGCGCGAAGCTGATTTGCAACAATGCGTTTTAGGACTTTTGCGAGAAAGGGCAGGTTAGAAATAGGGCAGTAGTGGCTGGGGTTTGAGGGATCTGGGGAAGGTTTTTTGAGTACTTTGTTCACTTTGAGAGTTCACTTTGAAGTCATTTTTATATTTTGACAAGATTAGTTCACCGGTAATTTGCAGATATTGCCATCTTCATTTCAAGCACTGAAACGGGATATGAAAGTGCTGAAATTCCCCGACCAGACCAGCTGCATGATGGGCACCGACCATCAGCAAGTAGTAAAAAATCAAAATAGGGATTTTGAAAACATCATAATTTGAGCAATAAAAGGGATGAAAGATATTTTTGGCAATATGATGGGCAGTCACACTTTCAGTACTAATACTAATAATTCTCAAGGAGCAAAGATGTGACATTTTTAATAATTTGATATTCAAGGACTGAAATTTAAGTGAGATGTAGCTGGCTAGAATTATCACCTGAGAACCTGCAAACTACAACGACAAGTTTTATTGCTTAGAAAAACAGCAATTTTGACGCATGCAGCACATACATGCAAAACCAACAGATGAATGCCGGAAGGAAAAATAGAAAATTATGTGAACGGGTACACTGTCGCCAAGGTCACCATGAATTCTGCTCAAGAAGACAATGCATATGAAACATACAGGAAAACAAATTTTCATGAGTGGTGCAGCCATGAATGTATAAACGTGCTCTGAAAACAACACAAGATAGCGTAAACCTTTAGAAACGACTCCTCACTATCTTTTGCATTAATTTGGGGGAAGAAAATGCATTGTTTACATAGAGGTGCGGTTTTTCAATGGTTTCTAATAAACAGATGATATTTGTAAAAAAAAATCAAAAATGGATGAATGTCAACAAGATAAACAGATACATTTATACTTTGAAATTTTGCTGTTATCCAGTGGAAAAAAATGCAATGAAACTAGCTGTACTTGGACGGATGTGGTGCACAAACAGTATGTTTCGACCGTGCTTACAACAACCTCCCCAGCCCCCCCGGAGTCAGGCTCCACCACTGTTATGCGCTCTGAGACGCTACCCTGCATGGAGGGCGCTATATAAGTGCAAGTAGTTGTTGTTTCATACGAATATGAAAACATTAAATTACTTATCACACCACAGCAATGCAGCACACCGTAAGTTAAAGAAAATGCGGTTAAAGCATTTGTAACTTGGCTTCACATTTACACAATACAGACATCAATTGCTTGTAATGTACTGTATTAATTCTTTTGTGAGGCTGGAATATATATAGGGCACAGTAGTATGGGTGTGTAGATGATTGACTCTGGAACTCCATCCCCAGTGCCTTCGCCTTCCTCCCTTTCCTCCTTCAAGGCCGGTCTCAAGACCTTTCTCTTTGACCGTGCCTTCAGCTCCCCTCTCGACTCTCTACCCCCTCCTCGCCCCCTCCCTTCCCTCCCCTCACCCTGACCATTTCCCCCTTGCTCGGGCCGTGACCCAACTGTACAGCGCCTTGGGACGTCCTCCCGACGTGAAAGGCGCTCTATAAATGAAATGTTGTTGTCGATTGGTAATTGCTATAAGTTTTTTTTAATGTTTTGTAGACTAACCACCTCATGCATGCATTTATCCAACATTCAAAACATCTTGATACCAAATGTTAGTAACCACAGAATAACCCTCTTAAATTCATAAACCTTAAGCAATTTCTACCACAGGGTGAGCTCAAATTGTGGAGTCGTGTAGCTTAGTGGTTAGAGCACTCGCCTTGCAAGCAACGGGACCTGGGTTTGATTCTTGGGTAGGGTGAAACGTTAGGCAAGCTTCCTTATTCCACATACACGTCTCTGTTTACCAAGCAGTAAGTAGGAACCCGGTTGTTAGTCGATTGGCTTTTCCCTTCAAAAAATAATAATATGGTCACTCAATCCACAACTGCTTGTTGTGCCCAATTGGCTGCTGCATTATATACAAAATACACAATCAATTAATTTTACAGTATATCCTGTAAAGTGCTTTGAGATATCTCGAAGACATGATAAGGTGCTATATCCAATGCAAGGATTGTTATTATTGTATTCTTTGGGAGGATGATAACGAGGAAGGGTGAGGTAATCCAACTGTTCTACTTGGAAACTCAACAAAATTAAATTTCTAAGGGATAGTTTACCCTGTGTCAGGGGCAATTATATTTCTCAAATAGGTTCTATTGTCACAGGGTATAATTTAAGCAATTTGGCAACAGAACTAGTATGATCAGAACTAACTGCACATTAAAATCTTTCCGTCTCCACTGTCCCAGATTGGAGGGTGAGAATCATTATTTAAGAGTGATAAATTATTTAAGGGTCTATTTAGGAGCAATAAATTAATCTTCTATACTTTAATTGGAGCTCAAGAAGCAAGTCTTGATCAGTATTTTAAAACCTATAGGTAACCACAAACCTGGGTCAATTATCCAGAGTGACAGACTTTGTACATTTCTTACCCCACCCCCAAATCATTACAATAGGGTATCACTCTGCTAACTAGAACATTTTCAAAACAAAAAAGCAGAGTTAACAACTTAATAATTCCAATCACCTTCTTCCTTTTCACCAAAATGGGAGAAGCCTCAGCTATACAGTCTCAGGAGCCTGTGACAGCTTTAAATTGGATAAAGTGTGATGTTATCACATTTTCGAAGTTCTGAAAGTTATCAATAAACTATATTCCAGTTCTGACAAAGGGTCGTGGACCCGAAACGTTGACGCACTTTCCTTTCTCCATAGATGCTGCCTGACCTGCTGAGTGTTCCCAGCGACTTTGGTTTTTGTTCCAATAATATGTCTGATATACAATGGTAAAGTCGATAAAAAGAAAGCAAAGAATTTAGAATTAAGTACTTTGCATAAGAGAATAGCAACATTTCCATGTGTAGGTGGGATGCACGGAGTTTGGTTTTGATACTCTTAAGCATAGTGATGGGTTTCCGCAGGTGTCAGACGCAGCTGTAAATACAAACTAACTGCCCAAGTCAACAGGACATTGACCATTGGTGTTGATGGTGGTGACAATTTTAGGAGGGGATTCACAGTGGAGGAGACAAATAACACTGCGACATTCACCAGGACAGCAACTCAGGGCACAAATAATAATAATCATTGCATTATACAGAACGCCTGATCACGTCATCGAGACATCTGAAAGCAGTGTAGTGACTGTGTGTCCTGCACACCGCTGGGGTCAGACGGTTACCTGAGCGTCAATGACGAAGATCAGCGCTCCGGTGCCTCTGAAGATCATCTCATAGTCAAAGGTGGGGTCAAAGAAGTCCACCTGTCCCGGGAAGTCCCAGATCTGGAAGTTGACGAAGGAGCTGTTGGAGATGTCGTCTTTGTAGATCTTGTTGGTACTCTCCAGGAACAGCGTCTCGTTCGGGGACATCTTGTGGAACACCACCTTCTGGATGGAGGACTTGCCGCTGCGCCTCAGGCCCATGAGGAGGATCCGGGGCTTGGTGTCGGGCCCCGCCTCCCCGCCCTCGCCGTCCGCCTCCTCCGCCCCGTAGCCGAAGTCTTTGGGGAAGGAGTCCACGGCCCCGAAGCTTCCCGCCAGCGGCTCCTCGTCGCCGTACTGGATGGACATGTCCGCAGGCGGCTGGCGGCGACCTGCTGCGCGCGCAGCCTCCTCTGACCCACCGCGAGGTGCGCACGCAATCAAACGCCTCGGCACCGCCCCCTCCCGCCGAGATCCGTGTCTCCCATTGGACCAACGCCGCGTCCATCAGCCACCCCGCCAGCACGTTAGGTTGCAGTTGACATGTGATAGTCACCTGACCCCGCTCTGACCTCTCATCCTAACCAGCTGCGGGGGAGGGGCAATGGGGAAGTCACTGTGGCGTCACCAGGAGGACCCCCTCCCCCCCTCAGACAGTAGGAGCCCCCACCCCCCCCAGACAGTAGGAGCCCCCACCCCCCCTCAGACAGTAGGAGCCCCCCCCCCCACCCCGACAGTAGGAGCCCCCCCTCAGACAGTAGGAGCCCCCCCCCTCAGACAGTAGGAGCCCCCCCCCTCAGACAGTAGGAGCCCCCCCCTCAGACAGTAGGAGCCCCCCCCCCACCCCCGACAGTAGGAGCCCCCCCCCCTCAGACAGTAGGAGCCCCCCCCCCTCAGACAGTAGGAGCCCCCCCAGACAGTAGGAGCCCCCCCCCCCAGACAGTAGGAGCCCCCCCCCCAGACAGTAGGAGCCCCCCCCCAGACAGTAGGAGCCCCCCCCCAGACAGTAGGAGCCCCCCCCTCAGACAGTAGGAGCCCCCCCCCCCCTCAGACAGTAGGACCCCCCCCAGACAGTAGGAGCCCCCCCCCGACAGTAGGAGCCCCCCCCCCCTCAGACAGTAGGAGCCCCCCCCCCTCAGACAGTAGGAGCCCCCCCCCTCAGACAGTAGGAGCCCCCCCCCCTCAGACAGTAGGAGCCCCCCCCCCTCAGACAGTAGGAGCCCCCACCCGACAGTAGGAGCCCCCCCCCCCCTCAGACAGTAGGAGCCCCCCCCCCTCAGACAGTAGGAGCCCCCCCCCCTCAGACAGTAGGAGCCCCCCCCCCCAGACAGTAGGAGCCCCCCCCCCCCCCCCTCAGACAGTAGGAGCCCCCCCCCTCAGACAGTAGGAGCCCCCCCCCTCAGACAGTAGGAGCCCCCCCCCCTCAGACAGTAGGAGCCCCCCCCCCCAGACAGTAGGAGCCCCCCCCCCCCTCAGACAGTAGGAGCCCCCCCCCCCAGACAGTAGGAGCCCCCCCCCCCCTCAGACAGTAGGAGCCCCCCCCCCTCAGACAGTAGGAGCCCCCCCCCCCCCCCCAGACAGTAGGAGCCCCCCCCCCTCAGACAGTAGGAGCCCCCCCCCCAGACAGTAGGAGCCCCCCCCCCTCAGACAGTAGGAGCCCCCCCCCCTCAGACAGTAGGAGCCCCCCCCCAGACAGTAGGAGCCCCCCCCCCCTCAGACAGTAGGAGCCCCCCCCCCAGACAGTAGGAGCCCCCCCCCAGACAGTAGGAGCCCCCCCCCCAGACAGTAGGAGCCCCCCCCCCTCAGACAGTAGGAGCCCCCCCCTCAGACAGTAGGAGCCCCCCCTCAGACAGTAGGAGCCCCCCCCCTCAGACAGTAGGAGCCCCCCCCCCAGACAGTAGGAGCCCCCCCCCAGACAGTAGGAGCCCCCCCCAGACAGTAGGAGCCCCCCCCCCTCAGACAGTAGGAGCCCCCCCCCCAGACAGTAGGAGCCCCCCCCAGACAGTAGGAGCCCCCCCCCTCAGACAGTAGGAGCCCCCCCCCTCAGACAGTAGGAGCCCCCCCTCAGACAGTAGGAGCCCCCCCCCTCAGACAGTAGGAGCCCCCCCCCCTCAGACAGTAGGAGCCCCCCCCCAGACAGTAGGAGCCCCCCCCAGACAGTAGGAGCCCCCCCCCCAGACAGTAGGAGCCCCCCCCCTCAGACAGTAGGAGCCCCCCCCTCAGACAGTAGGAGCCCCCCCCTCAGACAGTAGGAGCCCCCCCCTCAGACAGTAGGAGCCCCCCCCCTCAGACAGTAGGAGCCCCCCCCTCAGACAGTAGGAGCCCCCCCCCCTCAGACAGTAGGAGCCCCCCCCCCTCAGACAGTAGGAGCCCCCCCCAGACAGTAGGAGCCCCCCCCTCAGACAGTAGGAGCCCCCCCCCAGACAGTAGGAGCCCCCCCCCTCAGACAGTAGGAGCCCCCCCCAGACAGTAGGAGCCCCCCCCCTCAGACAGTAGGAGCCCCCCCCCCCCTCAGGGTAACATCTCTGATGTCATCGCGGGCCTCTCATTCCCAGTGACTTCAACATTGTATGTGAGCCCTGAGCTGTCACATGGCCCGACCCCTGACCCCCGACCCCCGACCCCTGGAGCTCAGGTACTGACATGAATGTAACTTTCAGAGGAATTTCACCAAATTTCTTTCCTGTTTGGATGATGTTTCTGAAAGCATTTGATGACATAATCCCTGTCAGTCAAATCCAGGACCGGATTAACCACAAATGCAGGTGAGGCCCTGTTTTAGGGCCCGGTCTGAGGTCCTCTCCCTCCGGCCCCAGCGCTCTGCCCATCGCTCTCCGCTGTGAGTGACGGCACGAGGGTGGGGCTGGAGGTATGACTCGGGAGCTATGTCTCGCAGCAACGGAGCTTATCCAGCGCCTTGACGTCCTCCCGACATGAAAGGTACTGTACAAATGTAATTTTGTATTGTACCTTAGTGATGCTGGAAAAAAAGATTTTGATACAAAACAGTATTGATTCTGCATCAAAATAACATAGCATGTAGGAGCCGGAGGAGGCCATTTGGCCCTTCAAGCCTGCCTCGCCATTCAATCATGGCTGATCTTCTAGTTTTGTGTCATCCGCGAATTTAGATATATTAACTTTGATGTCCTCATCTAAATCGTTGATGTAGATGGTAAATAGCTGAGGTCCAAGGACTGATCCCTGTGGCACTCCACTATAATAATAATAATAATAATAATCCTTGCATTTGATATAGCGCTTTTCACGTCGGGAGGACGTCCCAAAGCGCTTCACAGAACACACTGTAAAGTGAATTGACTGTATATTTGTGGGCGAACGCGGCAGCCAATTGCGCACAGCAATGTCCCACAAACAGTCGTAGAATGAAAGTGACCAATTTATTATTGTTTGTGGTTTTGGAGGATTATTATTAGGCTCTGTGTGGAGTAAGGAAACTTGCCCAAGGTTTCGCCCTCTGCCGGGAATTGAACTCAGGTCTCTCACTTGCAAAGTGAGTGCTCTAACCACTGAGCTACAGGACTCCACTAGTCACATCCGGCCAATCTGAAAAGGACCCGTTCATCCCTACTCTTTGTTTCCTACCCGTTAACCATTCCCCAATCCACAGTAATATGCTCCCCCCAATTCCATGGGCCCTTATCTTTTGGACTAACCTTTTATGCGGCACTTTATCGAATGCCTTCTGGAAGTCCAAATAGACCACATCCACTGATTCACCCTTATCGAGTTTACTGGAAATATCCTTTAAAATTCTATGAGCTTTTTCAAATGACTTCCCTTTTGTAGAGCCATGTTGACTTGGCCTAATTATATTGTGCTCCTCTAAATACCGCACTACCACATCCTTAATCAATGATTCTAATTTTTTTCCTATCACTGATGTGAGACAAACTGCCTATAGTTCCCCATCTTTTCCTTTCCACCTTTTTTAAATAGTGGTGTGACATTTGCGATCTTCCAATCCATGGGGACTGTTCCAGAATCCAAGGAATTTTGGAAGATCAGACATAAGGCCTCCACTATCTCATAAGCTCCTCTTTTAAAACCCTGAGATACAAGCCATCCGGACCGGGGATTTGTCACTTTTTAGTGCTAACAGTTTCCCAGCACCAATTCTCTGCTAATGAAAATTTCCCTAAGTTGCTCCCTGTCCTTATCCCCTTAGTGCATCTCTATTGCTGGCAGACTAGTTGTGTCTTCTAGGGACTCTGCCATGTCCTTATCCCCCATTGCAACTTCTCCCGTTTCTGACTGAAGTGGACCTACATTTATCCTCACAGCCTATTCCTCTTAATGTATTTGTAAAAACTTTTACAATCTGACTTAATGTTCCTCGCTCGCTTACCCTCATACTCCTTTTTCTCGCTCTGAATGAGATTTTCAGTTTTTTTTTGCTGATTTCTAAAACTCTCCCAATCTTCAGATTTGCTGCTTTTCTTGGCAGTTTTATAAGCTTTTTCTTTTAATTTGATGCTTTCCCTAACCGTTCTAGTTAGCCACGGATGATGGTTTTACCTCTTAATCTTATTCTCCAGTCTATTTTACCTAAATCTTTCCTCAAACCTACAAAATTAGCCTTATTTAAATTCAGAATACTTGCCTCAGATTTGACTCTATCCCTCTCCAACAATGCAGAATTCAATCATATTGTGATCACTCTGCCCTAGGGAAGCCTTAATACCTACACTGCCAACTCGCCCTGTTTCGTTACACAAAACAAGGTCTAGGATGGCCTGTCTCCTCGTTGGTTCCTCGGCAGCTGCTCTAGAAAGTTATCTCACATACACTCAATGAACTCTTCTTCTGACCTACTTTTGCCGATTTGGTTTTCCCAATCTATGTGGAGATTGAAATCACCCACTATTATCGCTTAACCTTTCCTACACACTCCACTGATTTCCTGATTGATACCCTGTGCTATATTGTGATCGCTGTTTGGGGGTCTATAAACCACTCCCATTAATATTTTCTGCCCCTTATTATTTTTTATTTGCACCCATATTGTCTCGACCTCCTGGTCATCGGATTTCAGATCCTTCCTCTCCACTGCTTTTATTTCATCCCTAATTAATAGGGATCCACCCCACCCCGTTTCCCACAGTGCCTATCTTTCCTTTAAACTGCGAACCCTGGAATATTTAACTCCCACCCTCGATCTCCTTGTAAGCATGTTTCAGTGATGGCTACTAGATCGTACCCATATGTGTCTATCTGTGCTTTTAATTCATCAGTTTTATTCCGAATGTTTCGCACATTCAGATATAACATGTTTAATTTCCTACCATTTCCTCTACTCTCTGATTCCTTATCTGCTTTGCCAAGTTTCTTACCCCTCGTTAACATATTCCTATTATCTAGCAATGCTATTCTGCACTGTCATCTTTACGTTTTCTAAT